GACGGTGTCGTCGATGTGGTACTTCGTCGTCAGCACCCACCGATTCTTCATGATGTTTACCCCCGGTGGGCATTCAACCAGCTCCCACGTTCCCATGCCAATGAAGCTACGGATCTCCTCGTCCATGGCGGCCTTCACCGCCGGACCATTCCGTTATACTCACAGTAGACTTCAATGTACCTAAAACGAAAGATAGAGTGCACTGTCGGATTTCTCCACTGAGGATTTACACGTTTATAGCGTTCTGGTCACAGCTTTAAATGACCGGATTCAACTTGGATCTGGAGCGACTTGACGTCGCCTACAATAGGCAATTTAGATCGCACAATTTCACCTAGTATTGACTACACAGCGTCGGTTTGAACGAACAACACTATGGCATCCACTATAGTCTTAGAACACAGGATAGGAAGAGTTACGAGTTGGGAATGACTCCCAGCTCCTACAAACCCCAAGAGCCAAGGTACAGTGATGTGGAACAGTGCCACACTGTTCCCAATCAAGAAGGGTCTCGGAACTACCCACCACAAGGGCCTACACCAGCTGAAATGTTACACTACACAAAGTAATGTAACTATCTTCAACATCTTGAAGTGTACCCTTTTGGCGAGCTTCGAAATCACTTGAGGCTTGACACCAAGGCTCGGGTTCTTCATCACAGACTCATCCTTGAGTTCTTGCTGGGTCTGCTGCACACACCTGCGACACGCTGAACGTTTGACACAGGACAAAATAGAAATCGCGCGAGACACACAAGCGACAAAGTAGAAACCGCGCGGGACACACATATTGACCGCGTAACACGCGACTAGCGATAACTCGCTATTGACTTGACACACACACACTCGACATCATGACCCAGCATACACATACTATTTTAAGCATGAAAGATATATTATCTCATGCCCTCATACCATTCCATGCACAAAGGCATGCACGCACACGGACAACAAGCCGAGTGCAAACGTTAGGGTTGCACCAACAAACTCCCACTCGGATTGTTGGCTTTAGGATATCTTGCTCTTCGAATGCTGCTGCTCCACCAGCCTCTTAGTCATCATGTCAGCCGGCTGCCCCGTGGTCTTCACGTAGCGCAACTCAACTTCACCCGCGGCCACCATGCTCCTTGTCCAGTGCCACTTCAACCCATGTGCTTCGTGAGGCCATGCAACACAGGGTACTTAGCAAGAGCAATGACACCCTAGCTATCACAGTATAGTGGGGTAGGTCCTTGCTGCTCCTCCCCCAATTCAGCCAACAAACGCCGCTGCCACACAATCTCCCGTACCGCACGGAAGAGTGCCATATACTCGGACTCCACCGAGCTCAAAGCTTGGTCCACCTGCTTCTTGCTCTCCCAAGCAGTTGGGCCTCCACCAACACAGAAAATGAACCCTCCAACACTTGTCATGTCCTCTGGTTCTGATGCATATGAAGCATCCGAGTAGGCGGTGAGGAACAAACGCCTGGGTTCAACACCATCCGCGCCCTTTTGGCGCCTTTGCGCCGCCGCCGAGTATTGCAGCCCAACGGTCGGTGTTTGGCCAAGATACTTGGCCACCCTCATTTCAGCTGCTACCTGCTCCTCATTAGGGCATTGCACAGCCCTAACCAGCTGCCCGGTAGCAAAGGCCACGTCTGGCCGAGTGTTTACCGCCGCATACATGAGGCTGCCCACCAACGACTGAAAACGGCGCCTCTCCTCTTCACCAACGCTCTCCTCCTCCGGTCCCTTCACACACTTTAACCCTGAGGGAAAGGGAGTAGCCACGTGGCCTTCACTCTGCCCAAAGTTGGCAGCCAAGGCCTCCAGGTACTTCCGTTGGTGCACCTGCATGCACTGCTTCTCCACGTCACGCTCAATGTGGAGCCCAAGGTAGAAGTTCACGTCACCAAGGGACTTGCACTTGAACTTGTCTTGAAGTTTCAGCATCACCTCCTTCACAAGATCAGAGGAGGGTGAGAAGATGAGGATGTCATCCACATACACCACCATGAAGCTCCTCTGCTCCCCCTCGCCAAGCATGAACAAGGAGTGATCGGCCGTTGAGGGAGTGAAGCCGATCTCCTCCAACACTTCGCGCAGCTTCATGTACCATTAAAGGGCCTGCTTCAGCCCATAGAGGACCTTCTTCAGCTTCCACACTCTGCCACTACCATCATCAAACCCCTCTCGCTGCGGCATGAAGATCTCTTAATGTAGAACACCGTTGAGGAATGCCTCAACGACGTGCCTCCTGCACTGCTGCTGACGTGCGCGAAAGTCGCCGGGGATGTTGTCCTACGAAGACAATCTCGGGGGTGGTATCCCGAAGTCGACGTGGCTGGTGGGCGCAGTCACGGGTGAAGTGTCTGCGCTGGGCATGTGACGGGGAGTTGGGCGCCAACCAGCTGCACGCACCTGCGAAGCTGGTGCACCGTTGTCCCGCGGATGCAACGCTGTGCAGCCGACCTACTGCAGCGTTGGCACACCGCGGACCTGCAACGCTGGCAAGCCGCGACTCTGCTCTGCTGGAGCTCGGTCGACCAAGTCGTGCTGGCACGCGGTCGACCGTGCTGCGCTAGCAGTAGACCAGTAGCCTTGCTAGGTCTGATGTAGTCAGTGTTGCCAATGTTGATGTAATCATTCTGAACTTTTGTTGTTATGCTTTCCTAGTGAAACTCTTGCCAATTTTCCCCGTGAACTAGCAAGCAGTGTTAGCACTTGGAAATGACTAAGGAATGAACGAACACTACGATCACTCTTGCCCCGTGCCTAGCCCGTAGTCTATCTCCCGTTGCACTAGTTATCTCCGCATGGTGCGGTGAGCGTGGACGACACCGCGACGAAACCTTCAGTTTAGCTGACTTCTCTCTCACCTAGCTTGTTCGTAGACCGGCAGCAGTGCAGTAGTCACTATGGTAGGAGCCGTAGGTGACGGAGGGGTGGTGGACACCTTGGAGGCACGACTGGAGAACGCGAGGAGAAAGCACGAGGCCAACGAGTATGGCGACATCCCCTGGACGGTCGTCGAGGCTGGCATCTGCTCCTTGTGGGCGACGGAGCACCGTCCCTCTCGGCCTGCGTCTCCTCGACCGGTGAACAACGCGGGCGGCGTTGACGTGGACGTCAACGGGGGTGGTGGCCAAGTCGCCAGCAGCGCGGGAGGCACATCGAGGCAGCGAGGTGTGATTCGCGCCGATATAGTCGGCGGCGTTCAGGCGCGAGGGATGCAGTCGTCCGCGGCTGCAGGGGCCCTGCGAAACTACGTCGGAGGCAGACGAAGTGAATTGGCGCCGATGTCGGCGACTCACGTGACCGCGGGAGGAATTGCGCCGAGCTACAGCTACTTCAAGTTTACGCCGGACAGGATCTCGGTCACCCCTCAGCTGGTCGGTCGTCCCAACATCCTCACGTGGAAGGAAGGCATCAAGCCCCAGCTGGAGATGGCCGGGCTGATGGGTTTCGCCCGCGGACCGTGGCGACGCCGGAGGAACACTACCCCGACCTGCGAGAGGAATTTCGCGCCGTGCAGCTGCTGACCTTTACGGTCATTTCGCGGTGCTGCTCGCCGGGCGTACAGATCGCCCTGAAGTCGTGCAGGGAGTATCTCGATGCTGGCCACTGGGCGTGGCATTTCATCGACTCAACTTACCAGGTCACTGACGACTTGTTCATCTCCCAGCTTGAGGGGCAGTTGACGCACCTGCGCATGGGCGACGAGGAGACCGCGACTGACTATTGCAACCGAGCTCGGCGAATTCTCGCCACCATTCGGATGGCTGGCGCGGAATACTCGGCAGCTTCGTACGTCACGCACGTCATGCAAGGACTCCCGAGCAGCTACAATCTGCTGAAGCGGCTGTCGATGGCGCCGAGCACGCGATCGACGCTCAACGAGGACACATTGACCTCGTACATCCTGCAGGACGAGGCAATGCAGGAGGCTGAGCGGTCCCAACAGCTCCTCGCGCAAGTCCATTTTGCGGTCCCCGCGAAGCAAGGTGGTCGCCCGGGACAGCGCGTGCAATCTGGTGGCAGTCACCGCGGTAACGGGAAGCTGGCGAAGGACGCTGACAAGCAGAAGTCGTCCAAGTATGGCGGTCGTGGAGGAGGAGGTCGACGTCGGGAATGCTGGCTGTACGTCGATCCCGATCACCTCTCCTTCAAGTGCCCCGACCGCAGCGATTCCGACGACGACGACACAAAGGGAGGCCGCGGAAGTTCCGGCAGCCGTCGTCCGCGTTGAGGAAACCAACCGCGAAAAGAAAAGCAGTCGACGAAATCGACCTCGGCGAAGGACGCCGACTCTTCAGCGGGTGGCAAAGGACGAGACGGTAAGGAGGCGTCGTGCTTGCTGGTCGGTATCGTGGAGCCGACTGTATCGCTGGCGCCGGAAGCTGGCGAGGATTTCCAGGTGGTGACGGCAGCTGTGCAAGCGAACCCCACAGTGGTCCTGCTCGACAGTGGCTGCTCGCACCACCTGATGGGGACGAAGTGTCAGAACATTAGAGCTTACTTATTTGTGTAGGCTATAGTGGGGTATCCCATAGGGGGTACAACTCAATTAGGGTTTCATATTTGTACTCACTTCATTCATAGTTCATTCATTCTCGTTCTTTTTTTCACATGGAATCAGAGCAGGTTCCCTCCTAGGGACTGCTTCTAGGGCCCACCGAAGCGCGCCCCGAGGCGCGTTTTCCTTTTTTTAGCGACCCGTTGTGTCGCCCCCAGCGGCCCGTCGCGCCGCCCTTCCCTTAGCGGCCCCGCCGCCCTTTGATCGCGGCTCCGCCGCGCTTCCTTAGCGGCCCCGCCGCCCTTTGATCGCGGCCCCGCCGCCCTTCGATCGCGGCTCCGCCGCCCTTCCTTAGCGGCCCCGCCGCCCTTCGATCGCGGCCCCGCCGCCTTGCTCACGCGGCCCCGCCGCCCTCTGCTAGGCGGCCTCGCCGCCGCGTCGCCCGTGCACCTACCCGTGCACCCGCCCGTGCACCTACCCGTGCGGCCGCCAGTGCAGCCGCCCATGAGCAGCCTGCGAGCCGCCCCAGCCGCCCGTGCAGCCGCCCGTGCATCGCCCGTGAGCCGCCCCAGCCGCCCGTGCAGCCGCCCGCGAGCCGTCCCAGCCGCCCGTGCGGCCGCCCGTGAGTCGCCCTCGACACGCCCGCGCCGCCCGAGCCGCCCGCGAGACGCCCGCGCCGCCCGAGCCGCCCGAGCCGCCCGCGAGACGCCCGTGCCGCCCGAGCCGCCCGAGCCGCCCGAGCCGCCCGAGCCACCCGAGCCGCCCGAGCCGCCCGAGCCGCCTGGGCCGCCCGAGCCGCCCGGGCCGCCCGAGGAGCCGATCTTCTGCTCCTGTGGGGCTCCTACTGCTCCTGGGCCGGCGCAGCTGCTGTGCTGCCGTGTTGCTGTGTCGCTGTGCTACCCGACTCTTCCTGCCCGGTGAGACTGTCAGCTGCTACAATGGCCACCCCCAGTGTCCTGACTTTTGACGCTGAGGGTCGCGCCATTGACTTTGCAGTCTGGATTGAGGACCTGCAGCTGTACTTACTGTGCGATGCGATCGATGAGGTTTCTCTCTTTGACTTTGTCTCTGGCGCTGTCCCTGCCCCTCCTGCTGATGCTGACCCCACTGTTCGCTCCAAGTGGGCCACACGTGATGCTGCTGCACGTCTTGCTGTGCGTCGCCACCTCCCTTCCTCCGAGCGTGCACACTTTAGTCAGTGCAAGACCGCTCAGGCCTTGTACGACGCTGTAGTTGCGCGCTACTCCTCCCCTTCCACTGCTACACTGAGCCGCCTCATGCTACCGTACCTCTTCCCTGACCTTGCTGCCTTACCCACAGTCACTGACCTCTTTACCCACCTTCGCGCTAGTGACACTCGCTACCGAGCTGCGCTTCCTGCTGCCTTCCTCGCCGAAAACCCCCCTCCCATGTACATCACCCTCTACTTTCTAGTCACCCGTCTCCCTGAGTCCCTTCGTGCTGTTAGGGACCAGTTTCTCTCTGTCTGTCCCACCACCCTCACTGTCGACCTCCTTGAGAAGTCCCTGCTAGCGGCCGAGAAGAGCATAGTCGCTGTAGGGGCCTCTCGTGGTGACCCGCGCACCCCCATCTTTGAGGGGTGTTCTCCTTCCCCCCTGCTACCCTCTGTCGCCTCTGCTGCTGCGGCCGATCTCGTTGGTTTAGAGTCGGTCGGTGCGGCGTCTGCCCCCAGCGGTAGGCGCCGCTCTGGCAGGAGCAAGGGGGGCAAGGGAGCGGGTGGAGCTAGCGGGGGCGGTGGCGGTGGAGGTGGGGGCGGCGGGGGGAGTGGGGGTGGCGGTGGGGGTGGAGGCGGGAGTGGAGGTACTGGTGGCGGCGGTGGAGGCGGAGGTGGCGGCGGAGGTGGTGGCGGAGGAGGCAGTGGGAGCGGCGGGGGCGAGGGTGACGGTGGCGGCGGTGGCGGCGGAGGCGGGGGTGGCGGTGGTGGAGGTGGTCGGAGTGGCTCGTCCCAGAGGAGCGGCACTGGGGGTGGTCAGCGCCAGCAGCAGCAGCAGCAGCAGCGCTCTCGCGACGTCCCCGCCCCTCAGCAGCTCCGTGAGTGGTACTCGCAGCGTCAGCGTGGTGGGGCGTTCGGTCCCTGCACCTACGTCCTTTGCACCGGCGACCGCGCAGGTGAGCAGTGTGGGGGCACCCACACCGCTCGCCGCTGCTTTGCCCGCCTGACCGACGCTTGGCGCCAGCAGTTTCCGGAGGCCTCTGAGATCCCCCGCTGGGGAGAGCTGTCTAGGGCTGGTATAGCTGTGTTTGATCTTGACTTTGATGCTATCCTTGATGCCATGTATGCTGTGACTGTTAGTGATGATGGTGACTGTTACCGGTGCTTTCCGCCCGACCCGGGCATTGGTACTGCTGTGTCAGGTGCCAGTGAGGCTGCTGCTCTAGGTGCCAGTGCGTCTTTGCTCTAAGGTGCTAGTGAGTCTGCCCTCTCAGGTACTGTGTCGGCTTCTGCCTCCCACACCTTCACCCTTGACTCTGGGGCGTCTCGCTCCTTCTTTCGGGACCGCACCACTCTCACGCCGCTTAGTCGGCCGGTTGCGGTGTCCCTGGCTGACCCCTCTGGGGGTCCTGTCCTGTCTCGTTTCTCCACAGTCCTCCCGTGTCCGGCGGCCCCCTCTGGCACCCTGACTGGTCTTTACCTCCCCTCGTTCTCTACGAACCTGGTGAGTGGTGCTGACCTACAGGATGTGGGGGTCCACCAGTTCACTCCTGCTCGTCAGCGGGTGACACACTGCACAGAGGCTAGCACAGGTCGCCACCTGGCTACGTTTACACGTCAGCCAGGGTCGAGCCTGTACACACTGACCACTGCTTCTCCTCCCGGTGCTGAGTCTGGTAGAGTCCCTTCGTCTGGTCAGGTGTTTGCTGCAGCGTCCAGGTCTGGTCCTGAGTCTGCCCCCTGTTCGTGTCGCCGTCTGTCTCACGAGACTCTCCTCTGGCACCACTGCCTTGGCCACCCCTCTCTGCTTCGGCTCAGAGGCATGGCCTCCCGTCTTCTTGTGTCTGGTCTTCCCCGGTCCCTCCCTCCCCTTCCTCAGGGCCCTGGCCCTGCCTGTGTCCCCTGTGTCGAGGGGCGCCAGCGTGCTGCCCCTCACTCCTCCCAGTTTCCTCCGACAGAGGCTCCGTTGCAGACACTTCACATGGACGTGTGGGGCCCTGCCCGCGTCCGTGGTCTCGGTCACGAGCGCTACTTCCTGTTGGTGGTTGACGACTACTCGCGTTACACCACAGTCTTCCCCTTGCGCAGCAAGGGTGATGTCACTGAGGTGCTGATCGACTGGATCCGCGCAGCTCGTCTCCAGCTCAGGCAGAGCTTTGGCTCGGACTTTCCTGTGTTGCGTCTGCACTCGGATAGAGGCGGAGAGTTCTCCTCTGGCCTTTTGCGTGCCTTCTGTCGTGCGCGAGGCATCCGCCAGACCTTCACGCTTCCGGACTCACCGCAGCAAAATGGGATTGCAGAGCGCCGCATTGGCATGGTCATGGACGTCGCTCGTACGTCTATGATGCATGCGGCTGCCCCCCATTTTCTGTGGCCGTTTGCGGTCAGGTACGCGGCGCATCAGATCAACCTCCACCCCAGGGTCTCCAGGCCGGAGACCTCCCCAGCTTTGCTGTGGACGGGGAAGGTTGGCGATGCGTCGGCGTTCCGGGTCTGGGGATCTCGGGCATTTGTCCGCGACTTGTCTGCGGACGAGCTGTCCCCTCGCGCTGCTCCCTGCGTCTTCCTGGGGTTCCCCCCCGACGCCCCTGGGTGGCAGTTCTACCACCCCACCTCTCGACGTGTTCTGTCCTCCTAGGACGTCACGTTCCCCCGCCCGCGTTTGTCCTCCCTACTACCGCCTCTTCCCCTACCGCACTCCTTCCCTTCCCCCGCCCCCGCTCTTCTTGGTACCAGGTCCCCCCCTGGTAGACCCCCTCCCCCCTCAGGGTCCTGCCCCTTCAGGTGTGTCCCAGGTAGTCGCGGTCGAGCCTGTCGAGGTCACTGGTGACTCTGGTGCTGCTGCGGGAGCTGAGCCTGGGGGTGCTGAGCCTGGGGGTGCGGAGTCTGGGGGTGCTGAGCCTGGGGGTGCTGAGCCTGTGGGTGCTGAGCCTGGGGGTACTGAGTCTGGGGGTGCTGAGCCTAGGGGTGCTGAGTCTGGGGGTGCTGAGCCTGGGGGTGCTGAGCCTGGGGGTGCTGAGACTGGGGGTGCTCCGCCTGGAGGTGCTTTGCCTGAGGGTGCTGAGCCTGGAGGTTCTCCGCCTGGAGGTGCTTCGTCTCGCCGAGAGCCACTCTCCCCATAGGAGCTGCGTGAGTGGTTTGCCCAGCGCTGGAGGCGTGCTACTGGTGCTGCTGGAGGTTCTTCGGCTGCAGAGGGTGCTGCTGCCGCGCGTCCCGGAAGTGCTCGTGCTGTGGGTGCTCGAGCTGCTGGGCCTGAGGGTTCTCCTGGAGCTGGTGCTGCTGAGGGTGTTGGCGCTGAGACTACTGCTGGCGGTCCGACTGGCAGTGCTCCTGGTGCTGCTGGAGGTGCTGCTGGAGGTGCTACTGGAGCGGGTAAACCTGCTGGGGGTACTGGTGCTGTCCCTGCTGTTTCTGGCGTCGCCTCGCGGCCCCGACCGTACTTCGTTCCGCTCCTGCAGCAGGTTCTTGGTCTTATACCTTCTCCTGGTCCTCCTCCGCCTCTCTTAGAGGATCCACAGCCTGTCCAGTCCCAGTCACAGCTACAGCCTGCCTCCCCTTTGCCTGCTCCTTCTCCCTACGCTGGTCCGACTGGAGGTCTTACTGAGCGTCGTGAGCCTGCGTCTCGTCCTGCGTCGCCTGTTCGTCCTGCGCGCACTAGTGGTCGCGGTTCGCGTCAGCGTCCTCCTCCTGTCCCTGGCACGCACCGGATGTCTGTGCGTCCGTCCACTGCTCCTCTGCGTGCCTTCTCCTCCTGAGTCCTCTCTTCCTGCTCTTGCCGACCCGGAGTCGGACTCTCTTCGTGCTGCCAGTCCCACTGTCACGCGTATCCTTGCTACTGCTGTCACTGACCCTTCCTTCTAGTCTTCTGCTGCGTCTGCCCTTGTCACTGAGCTTGTCGACTTTGCTGCGCGCTGTCGTCTAGACTACGCTGCTAGTCTTGTCGCTGAGTCTGAGTCTGCCTGTCCTCCGTCCGTCGGGGGTGAGTGTGCCCTAGGCACGGACGTCCTTGAGGACAGGCAGGAGGAGTTCCAGTGTCTGGCCGCCGCTTCACCTCATCTCGCGTCTGTACTGCTCGCCCCTGAGGGAGACCCGGATGCACTTGACATCCCGACTCCGCGCTCTTACGCGGAGGCGATAGAGGGTCCCTACTCCTCTCAGTGGCAGGCAGCTATGGATGCAGAGATGGCTTCCTGGAAGTCCACAGGCACCTACGTTGACGCTGTTCCCCCTCCTGGGGCGAACATCGTCAGTGGCATGTGGATCTTCAGGGTGAAGCGGCCGCCGGGTTCTCCGCCTGTCTTCAAGGCGCGTTACGTGGCTCGTGGCTTCAGTCAGCGGCAGGGAGTTGACTACTTTCAGACCTTCTCCCCCACCCCGAAGATGACCACTCTTCGGGTACTGCTGCACGTTGCTGCTCACCGTGACTACGAGCTGCACTCTCTCGACTTCAGCACTGCTTTCTTGCAGGGCAGCCTGCACGAGGAGATCTGGCTGCGTCGCCCACCTGGCTTCTCTGGGTCTTTCCCTCCTGGTACCCAGTGGAGTCTCCAGCGTCCAGTCTATGGTCTCCGCCAGGCGCCACGTGAGTGGCACGACACACTGAGGACTACGCTTGCGGCACTTGGGTTTGCTCCTTCTACTGCCGACCCGTCGCTGTTTCTGCGCACCGACACCTCTCTGCCGCCGTTCTACATCCTCGTGTACGTCGACGACTTGGACTTTGCCACAGCTGACACTGCTGGACTCGCCAACGTGAAGTCCGAGCTGCAGAAGAGACACACGTGCACTGACCTGGGTGAACTGCGCAGCTACCTTGGCTTGCAGATCACCCGGGACAGAGCACGCCGCACCATTACCCTGACTCAGTCACACATGGTGCAGCAGGTCCTTCAGCGCTTCGGCTTCACGTACTCCTCGCCTCAGGCCACTCCTCTGCCTACTCGCCACTCGCTCTCAGCTCTGCCTTTGGATGAGTCCGTAGAGTCGAGTGGCCCGTATGCAGAGCTTGTTGGCTGCCTCATGTACCTGATGACCTGCACACGACCTGACCTTGCATACCCTCTCAGCATTCTCGCACGCTATGTTGCTCCTGGGAGACACCGACCAGAGCACATGGCTGCAGCGAAGAGGGTGTTGCGCTACTTGTGCAGTACGTCGGGCATGGGGCTAGTGCTTGGAGGGCGCAGTCCAGTGGTCCTCACTGGGCACGCGGACGCTTCTTGGGCTGACGACCAGGCTACGCAGCGGTCGTCACGGGGTTACACCTTTGGCCTTGGTTCCGGCTCTGTTTCGTGGCGGGCTACTCGCTCGTCTTCTGTTCTCGGCTCCAGTTGTGAGGCTGAGATCTACGCCGGGGCTATGGCTGCTCAGGAGCTTCGCTGGCTCACCTACCTGCTGACCGACCTTGGAGAGCCGCCTCGTTCTCCTCCAGTCCTGTACGTAGACAACAAGGCCATGCTGGCCTTGTGTCGAGAGCAGCGACTGGAGCACAGGACAAAGCACATTGCTCTCTGCTACTTTCTTGCTCGTGAGCTACAGCAGCGTGGACAGTTGCGACTTGCGTACGTGGCCTCTGAGGCCAACACTGCTGATGTCTTCACCAAGGCACTTGCGCCTTGTGATCATCAGCGTTGCTGCACGCAGCTAGGTCTTGTGCCTGTCTTGCCTCACTTGCTCACTTCTTGACCTTGCTTGTACCTTGACCTATATATACTCTTGCTCTTGTTTGCTTGACTCTTGTATATCTCTATATATGATCTTGCATGTGAACTGGCCTTGTGGCCCTTGAACTTGTGCTCGGAATGTGTGGTGACTTTGTGATCCACCCTGAGCTTTGCTTTGCTTTGCTTGACTGGTCTTGTGACCCCTTGTTCTCCCCCTCTTTGCCTATGTTGGTGTGTCAGAACATTATAGCTTACTTATTTGTGTAGGCTATAGTGGGGTATCCCATAGGGGGTACAACCCAATTAGGGTTTCATATTTGTACTCACTTCATTCATAGTTCATTCATTCTCGTTCTTTCTTTCACACGAAGGAGGCCTTCGTCAACTTAGGGCCGGGTGGCAACGTGAAGCACATGCGTGGCTTCAATGGGTTGCTGGAGGACGTTCGCGGCCGTGGCACAATTGCGCTACAAGGGGAGGCCGGGAAACGGGTGCTCATCTCCGACGTTCTCTACGTTCCGGGTGTGCAGGCGAATCTGCTTTTGGCTGGTCAGCTGAAGGAGGGCGGGGTGACGCTAAAGGACAACGGCGACCGAATGCTGCTCGTCTCCGCAGCGGGGGGCGTGCTTGGTCTCGCGACGTACACTGGCCGAGTCCTGTGCACTGACCTGCGCCCATGCGCGGTCAAATCGGGAACGCCCGCGAAAGAGGAGGTGGCTATGCAGGCGATCGTCTCGGCGACGAAAGCAACCCCGAAGAGGCTGCACGAGAGGATGGCGCATGTCGGCATGGACACCATACGGAGCTCAGCGAAGCACGAGGTCGCCACTGGGCTGGACCTCAAGTCGGTGTCCGGCGCCGACTCACCGTGTGTTTCGTGCGTCGGCGGGAAGCTGGCGAGGCACACCTTCCCCGACCACGGCTCCGAAGCCGATGATGTCCTGGCCGTCGTGCACATTGATTTGTGCGGGCCATTTTGTGTGGCTACCAAGGACGACAGCTTGTACTTCTTGCTGCTGAAGGACCGCAACACCCGCTATGTGTGGGTGAGGTCGGTCGCCAAGAAGTCGGACGTGATGCTGAAGTTCCAGAAGTGGCTGGTGCTGGTGGAGCGGCAGGCGAAGCATTTGGTGCTGCAACTGCACTCTGACCGTGGTGGGGAGTTCCTCGGAAAGGACTTCACCGCCTTCGTGGACAGCAAGGGAATCGTTCACGACTTAACCTGCCCTTACACCCCGCAGCAGAATGGCATGGCGGAGCGGGAGATGAGGACGGTGGTGGAGACGGTGCGGACGATGCTGCTGCACATGGGCGTGCAGTACCACTGGTGGCATCTCACTCTGCGGCAGGCCGTCTGGGTTCGCAATTGCCTGGAGCGGTCGACGCTGCCCGCGGGGATGACGCCGTACCAGCTTCTCACCGGGCAGAAGCCCGACCTGTCATTGGCGAGGGTGTGGGCCTGCATGGCGCAATTTCTCATCCATGAGCAGCAGCGTAGTGGGAAGCTGAAGCCGAAGGCCCGGTGGGGCCTTCACCTCGGCGTGTCGGAGGAGAGCAAAGGCTGGGAGCTCCTCAACCTCGCCGACAACCGGGTGGTCACCACGTCGGACGTGGTGTTCTACGAAACTCTATCGCTGGAGGTGTGGAAATCAGAACTCGGGCCCACTTCAGGGCGGACGCGGGCCAACCCACCGACGGACACTTCGACGGCGACGCTTCCTCTGCTCGCCGAGGTCGGTGAGCAGGCTGATGAGGATGTCGAGGTCGCCCCTGCCTCGCCATCTCCTGCCCGTTCTTCCCCTCTCCTTCACGTCGGACTGCGTGGCCTGCCTTTGGTGTCGGCCTCCGGCAATGAGGGGAACCGTGGGGCGTCACCTGTGGCGCCGGCCAAGAGCATCGCCAGTGGCCAACGTGATCCCAGCCAGTTGCGGAGAAACGGGCCGCGGAGGTGCAGCAAACTTTGGACACTGCGAAGGAAACCGCGAAGACCACCGCGGAGGAAACCGCGAAGGAAACCGCGAAGGCAACCGCGGAGGAGACCGCGGAGGAGCCCGCGGCTAGCAGGCAGCTGACAGGGGATCAAGCAGCGGCTAAGCCGACCGCGGAGCAGTTGGCACTGGAGCTTTTGAACGGGAAGCGCGTTTCAGAGAAGCCACCGATAGGGGAGTCGTGTGTTCAACCCACTCATTATTCAACCCACTGTGTGTTCAACCCACCGTGTGTCCAACCCACCGTACCGTCTGTTCAACCCACCGTGGGTTGAACCCACCGTGTGTTCAACCCACCGTGTGTTCAACCCACCATGTGTTCAACCCACCGTGTGTAAAACCCACTATGTGTTCAACCCACCGTGTATTGACCCACCTTGTGTACAAACCACCTTGTGTTCAGCCAACCGTGTGTTCAACCCATCGTGTGTTCAACCCACCGTGTGTTCAACCCACCGTGTGTTCAACGCACCGTGTGTTCAACGCACCGTGTGTTCAACCCACCGTGTGTTCAACCCACCGTGTGTTCAACCCACCGTGTGTTCAGCCCACCGTGCGTTCAGCCCACCGTGCGTTCAGCCCACCGTGCGTTCAGCCCACCGTGCGTTCAGCCCACCGTGCGTTCAGCCCACCGTGCGTTCAGCCCACCGTGTGTTCAGCCCACCGTGTGTTCAGCCCACCGTGTGTTCAGCCCACCGTGTGTTCAGCCCACCGTGTGTTCAGCCCACCGTGTGTTCAGCCCACCGTGTGTTCAGCCCGCCATGTGTTCAGCCGCCGTTTGTTCAGCCCACCATGTGTTCAGCCCACCGATTGTTCAGCCCAACGTCTGTTCAACCGACCTGTTTTCAACCCACCGTGTGTTCAACCCACCGTGTGTTCCACCCACCGTGTGTTCCACCCACCGTGTATTCAAGCCACCTTGTGTTAAAGCCGCCGTGTGTTCAAGCCACCGTGTGTTCAACCCACCGTGTGTTCAACCCACAGTGTGTTCGACCCACCGTTTGTTCGACCCACCGTTGGTTCAACCCACCGTGTGTTCAACCCACCGACCGTGTGTTGAAACAACCGTGTGTTCGACCCACGCACCGTGTGTTCAACCATTTGTTTGTTCAACCCACCATGTGTCAACCCACAGTATGTGCAACCCTCCGTGTGTTCAACCCACCGTGTGTTCAATCCACCGTGTGTTCAACGCCATGTGTGTTCAACCCACTGTGTGTTCAACCCACAGTGTGTTCAACCCACCGTGTGTTCAACCCACCGTGTGTTCAACCCACCGTGTGTTCAACCCACCATATGTTCAACCCACCCACCGTGTATTCAACCATCCACTGTGTGTTCAACCCACCCAACGTGTGTTCAACCCACCCACCGTGTGTTCAACCCACCGTGTGTTCAACCCACTCCATGTTCAGCCCACCGTGTAATCAACCCACTGTGTGTTCAGAACAGCGTGTCTTACAGCACACCGTGTGTTCAACCCACCGTGTGTTCAATCCACCGTGTGTTCAACCCACCATGTGTTCAACCCACCATGTGTTCAACCCACCATGTGTTCAAACCACTGTATGTTCAACCCACCGTGTGTTGTTCAACCCACCATGTGTGCAATGTTAACGGGAGTTGGGTATTGGCCCCGTCCTCGCTTGGGCGGAGCCGACTTCGTGGTCGGGTGTGAGGGGAGCAGCCGACCTGCAGCAGTGGGTGAGCTGGTCGACGAGGAGGTCGACCTGCACGGGGGACCACTGCACGGGCGCCGACTTCAGGGTGGCGCCGACTTCAGGGAGGTCGACTTGGGAGTCGACCTGCGGAGGACGTCAACTTGGTGAAGCCGACTTCGGTGGCCGGCTGATGGACCGCTGGTCGACCTGCGGGCGGTCGACTGGACCTGGTGGTCGACGAAGGAGGGGCCGACGTCGACCTTGACAGAGGACGCCGAGCAGTTGGGCGTTGAGTAGCGGGGCGTCAACTTCGTGACGCCAGCTTCGGGTGGCCGACGTGGATGGTCGGCCGACGACTGCGCTGGTCGACGAGGAGCAGGTCGACCAGGAGTGCTGGTCGACGTGGAGCTGGTCGACCAGAGGGGACGTCGACCTGGAGGAGGTCGACCGATGGTGTCGTCGACCTGGTGAGGTCGACGTGGCTGGTGGGCACAGTCGCTGGCATGGGATCTGCCAGGCGTCTACATTGTGCACGTGACAGGGAAGTGCTCACCAACCAGCTGCGTGCATCTGCGAAGCAGGTGCATCGTTGTCATGCGGGTGCAATGCTGTGCAGCCGACTTGGTGCAGCGCTGGCACACCGTGGACTTGCAACGTTGGCGAACCGCTACTCTGCAACGCTGGAGCGGTGCGAGCGCTGCTGCGCTGGAACGCGGTCGACCGTGCTGCGCTGGAGGTCGACCAGCAGTCTAGCTAGCTCTGATGTAGTCAATGTTGCCAATGTTGTTGCTATGATTGTTCTGAACTTTTCCTAGTGAAACTCTTGCCAATTTTCCCCGTGAACTAGCAAGTAGTGTGCGCACAAGGAAAACGACTAAGGAACAGAGAACGCAGAGATCACACGAGCACACGTGCCTAGCCCGTAGCTTAGCTTTCGTTGCTGCAGTTATCTCCGCATGGTGCGGTGAGCGTGGACGACACCGCGACGTAAGTTCAGTCTAGCCGACTTAGCACATACCGATCGTGTTCGTAGACCGGCAGCCGTGCAGTCACTAGCGTGCGCGCAGGCGACGCCGAGGTGATGGACACCCTGGAGGGACGGCTGGAGGATGCGAGGAGACGCCATGAGGCCCAGGAGTATGGGGCGATACCCTGGGCAGTCGTCGAGGCCGGACTCCGCTCCGTGTGGGCGGCGGATTACCCCCCTTCTCGACCTGCTTCTCCTCGACCGGTGAACAACGACGGCGGCGTCGACGTGGGTGTCAACGCCGGTGGAGGTCAGGTCGGCAGCAGTGCGGGAGGCACGTCGAGGCACCGAGGTGTGATACACGCCGGTGAAGTCGGCGGCGTTCAGACGCGAGGGGTGCAGTCGT